ATAATACATTGGTATTTAACATCTCTATTCAGTGCATCAAATTAATACAGTACGTTCTGAAAACAATGTATTTACATGGTCATGATAAAAAAAGAACAATATACAAGTCAAATTAATGTAAAAATATAAAAAAACCAAGCAAACCCTACATTAGTTTAACCATTTACTTCTGTCTAGAATGGGCGAGATAAACATGGGGGTTTCAACACTCTTAACCAGTGTTTGCAAAATGTCTTTTGTTAGTGCAGCATTGTCAACAGACATTTTGTTTTTTAACAAAATAATTTTCTCTGTAACATGCTTGTTTGGTATGGTAGAAAGAGATATATTTAAAACAGCAAAGGCCTCTAGAAACTCTGCCCACCCCAGAGGTCTACGATCATCGCTAACCCTGTGTGGCATTGTGATACCTTTCACAGAATATGTGACCCTGGGACAGCGCAGCCATTTGAGACAAATTCTCCTGATTTATTCCAAGAAGACACATCATTTGACTTACACATTTATCTAAAATGTACGTAACATTCTTCCTGCTTCGTGAGGATACATTTCTAAAAATATCATCGATTACATCGTCTTTGTCATCAGTCTGATCAATAACATTTGTTTTCTTATCATTATTGTCTGTGGGTGGTAAGGACAATGTTAATGTGTTGATCTCACATAAAATCTGTCGACCACCTGTAACTATCATCGCATCTACGACGTGTTGCTGGCGGCTTCTGTATTGTCGTTTCTATTTGACAACCATTTATCCAGTGTGGTTTGTAAACCACCAGTTGAGATATAACCATTAATATTTGCATCGTATCGAGTGTCTGTGTCTTGCAGATTATTACTTCCGGTATTAATAACCGCATTATACTCGTCATTTAAACATCGCAATTGATCGTTTACAGACATATGTTCCCATGCATCATTTGTGTTGCTAACAAACAGATTTTTGTCTGAACCCCGACACCTTTTAGACCCCATTTTTTTTAGATACAACAAAATAAATTGTTTTTACTACTAATTATTTAAAACAGTAAGTAAAGTTGCACTGATGAGGTGGTTAATTTAATATATAAACAACAAGAATATATGTAAACAACAAGAGTATAACAAAATGCCATACAAAAACTACTTTGTGGATGGTCCTGCAACAGGCAAATTTGGTGAAAGTTTTAACTGTAAAACCCTGTTCAGTTTAAACATTGGCTGAAACAGGCTTATCGTCAACACATGAAATGATTTTACACAAGTATAGATTAGATTGCCAGCATGACAATTTTATTGTATTTTAAGTCCACTATGCTGTAATATACAAGGGGAAAACACTTTTCTCAGGTTCCGGCTAAAGATGTTCCCTCTTTATTCTCAGTGTAAAAGTGGTCTGGTGAAAGCTGTTCCGTCTTTATTCTTAGTGTAACAAATGTACAGATTGACTAAAACTTACTGACTTAAATGATCTTGCACAGATATAGATTACTAGCATTATTACTGTCCTTTAAATCCACTCCAGCTGTTTCTCTCCAAGCGGAAACCACTTTCCAAGGCTGCCAGTAAAACCTATTCCTGGCTGTGTTCTTATTATTAGATTAACACTAAAATAACACAGACTAATTACTGTGCAGTGGAATGCTGTTTATTTATATCAGCAACAAAACTTTCAAATGTTCACATTTACACTACATCTTAAAAAAATCATTTAAGTCTGAACAACAGATTGTCTATGTACAGTAATTAAATGAGAAATGTGCATTAAAACAATGTTACATGGAGTAGCTAAAAACGGAGCAACAGCTAGCATTAGCAAAATGAATTTTCACTTACTTCAATGAACAGAACGAAATTACCCCGAGGAACAGTACAAACACGAACGAATTAAGCCTAGTGTGTGCTGAAGACGTCATGATTTCAACATGCACAATGAGGCGAAACAGAGGGAACTGAATTTACCATCACACCGGTTTATGAGGAGCCTGGCCTCGTCTTGTTTCCCCCGTTATATCAAAAACATGACTGCAAAACGCCAGAGGGCGCTGTGAGCGAGTTCTTAATGAATGTGGGCGAATGGAGCTAAACAGCTAAAAACAAAGTTTTAAAAACAAAAACAACAAGTTAAAATAGTTTCTAACCACTTGCCTAGAACTTTCCTTTAGTTTTAGAAAGTAGAAGGATGTATTTAACTAAAAGAGCAACTACAACTTACCTGTATGTTTCTTTTTTTCTGCAGCAAACAGGTTTTGGCCAGTAGGATTTTTGCATTGCTACTACTGAGTGCTGAGCAGCTTATTGGCCGTTCGCGCTCACTGACTTCATGAACATAATGAGGCGCTGTTTTAAACACCTATAACTCGAGTTCGAAAGCGTTTAAAATATAACTGTGGTGTTAAAATGTTTTATGCTGTTCTGTGTTCAGGACATAATGTATTCTACATTACAAATGTTTAAGCATTTATTAACTATGATTTTACTGAAATGCTTCAACTTATTCATTTTGGACTCACTTTGGAGCGCCCTCTAGCCTTTGAGAAACCCGGAAGACATTACAGATTTGTAATGTTCTGCTCTATAAAAGTTCTCTGGTTGAAACTATATTATTATTTATTTTAATATTGATATTTGTCCTTTAAGTTCTTACCAGAGACCTATCTACCATTAAGCACTAAATAACTTTTGTGTTCTGTGCTTAATTTCCTGTATTAGATCCAAATGTGCCAACCTGTTGATTAGACCCATTATTCCAAGCTCCATTTATCTTGTTTACTTATTCCAAGTAATAAACAAGGTAGTTGAGTGCTTCTCATATTCATACTAAAAGATTATCATTACAGGCTTTTAACAGTAGTCATTGACATTCATAGTTCTCTGTGATACACTTTAACAGTAGTTACTGGTTTTCACTGCCAACAGTGACTGATTTACACAGATCTGCTTCTCATTGTTACTTTGATAGGCCTTTGATAGGTCATCAGTTATCATTGCTTAACCCAAATACTTCTGTGCAATGACCGGCTGTTTTTTCCCTTTTCTTTATTATAATATTTTATATTAATTGGTAAAACCTTATTTTCTGTTCACATTGCACTTGTGTTATTGTTTTGCTATCCAGTGTCGACCAGGAGAGGGAGGATGAGGAGGTTGTCAACATAGAGGGACCTGAGGACTGTATGGTGGACTTCACTGTCAGGTGGACTGTTATCCAAAACATGCTTTTGGACAGCAAACATGGCACAGCAAGGACTGTTTGTACCAAGTGGCAAATTGTGCCATTCATAGACCTAGGGCTATTCGTCCCTCTTCATATCACTCCAGATAAACTGAAGCAGTGATCTATCTTATCTTTAAGTCTAATTTGGTGAAACATATGATAACATCTTTCTGGGCTTTGGCTTGAGGATAGCCAGTTAGGTCATAATCTTCCACATGTACTGGGTGGGTAATATGCCAGTTTTCGTCAGTTAAAGTGAATTAACAAACAAAAATGATTGGTTAGAAACACTACCAATTAGTCAATGAGCACCGGATCAATGACGTTTTGAAAAGGAATCTCAAATGGCTCCTAACTCCCAGTATAGTGCCCCCTGCTGACACTGTCTTGCTTGTATGTTTATTAAAAGGGAAACAGTATCATATCAAGCACCATAAAGTACCCGAGAGGGGATCCATGCCAATTCTGAAGTGTCCCCTCCAGAACAGTATAGCCAACGGCTTATACAGGGTGGTTGTTTTCGAAAAAGGGAACAGAACATATGGTCCTTTTTAAAATGATCTCATCTATATGGAACTAAGAGAAGAAGGGAGAGGAAGAGAAAGGGCCTATGGGGCCTCCCCTTGGACCTTTGGACCAGGGGCCCCCTAACTTAAACATTCCAAACCTGCAAAGTCAGATATCACATGACCTAGGTAATGCACACTATATAGTGAGACCAAGCCTATATTTTGCCCAGTGTTGTTGATTGTAGCCAGAGACGTTATAAACAGGTCTTTGTTGCAATATGAATAGGAAAGTTCGGAAAGCTCAACATGGCAGCTGTAAACGAGCAAAGGTTTGCCTTTCATTAAAGTGAGCCAATCATCTTGCTGTTTAAGCCGCAAGAGGGAAAAGCTCCACCTCGGTGGGCATGAACAGTAGCCAGAAGAAGCTGAAAAATCATGTGTGTGATACTTATGAAATATGTATTTTAAACTTTAATGTGGCTTTGGGTTTCAGCTTTATGTCTCTCCCCATTCAAAAAGATAGATTTTGTATGACTGGAAATAACTGCCAGCATTGAGTTGCCAGACTTTCTTGGAAGGTATTTGTGTAGCTCCCATGCAGGCTAAGAATTCTATCTTCCTCAAAGCAAAACTGCTCTGTGTTTTCACTGAGAAAGAAATAGGACGGTCAGCCAACAAAGTACGGAAGAGTGAAAAAGCACTGCTACTAAAATCACCGCTGCTATAAAATGCTTACACATGCACATTACAGATCGGGTGGTGGCAGTAAAATAATGTGCTCTACGCATGACAGTGTTGGGCATGTGTGATGCAAATTAGGCAGCGGCGCAGATCAGATAACGACAACACTGAAGCTAAGTGCTTCGAGTCCTATGATATAACTATCAGTTGCCATCACGATGTTTTTTTTTTTGTTGAAACGCCCTCAACAAATTTGGTGCTCATCAAAATATCTGGTTTTGGACTAATAAATATGGCCTTAGTAATAGTGGCATTCATATGCGCTCATCTTATTAATACAATATTTCTGAGAATATACTTGCATATAATGTAACTGTGCATTAATATTTGCTGAAACATGTTTTGAATAGTTTCTAGCACAGGTTGTGTTTACTTCTGTTTACTTCAAAAATCAATGCATTAAACACAGTAATAGGATTTAAAAAGTAATTCCTGGAACTACCCTCACCTAGTATGTAAATGTGGTCCAGCACAAAACTAAAACTAGGCAAAACTGTGAAGGTCTGCAATTCAGTCTCTGAGGACTGCAATCAAAACTATTCAACCCCTCAATGTAAGTCTAAGTGCAAGGCAGTTTAGTAATGTAAATAAAATGTAATTAAAATACATAAACCAAGGCTTTAGTAAACAGTCAAAAGAAGGTACATTACTATGTTCAAACAAATTTGAGAAGAAAGTTTTCACTGCTAACAACTGAAACAAAAATCACACAAATGTCAAATCACACAAATCTCCACAAATGTCCATGTGCAAAATTATTCAACCTACACTCTGTAACCTCCAATAAATGTTTCCTGTAGATGCTCACAAGCTTCTGACATCTCTCTATTGGAATCTTTGATTTAGATTTAAATCACAACTAAAGCAGACTGTCATTCTAGAGTTCCCAAAGGGTTAATTGTTTGTTTTTTGTGTGCTTTGTAGCCTTAGACTATCAGTGATTTAAAAACCAGCAATATTAAATAAGGGTTCAATAATTATGACATGGCTGTTTATGGAAAGTATCCTTTTACTCAGAAAAATGACATCACGTTTTTTTTTTTAATATCAATTTGAATAGGTCACTCAACTGATACACAGGTCATTTAATAATTTTCTGGTTCTTCATAAAAGTTCACAAAAATTTGTAAATCAATACCGCTCAGTGGGGGTTGAATAATTTTGAGTGCAACTGTATCTCTAAATTAAGCCATAGACACCTAAACAGAATGTTTATTTTGGCTAAAAAAACTTCAGCAGAACTCTAAGAGAGACTCCTTAGAAAAGACAACTCACTTTCAAAATTTGGAAAATAAAAAGGCTTAAAGTTACCCAGGTTGTGAAATACCAAGTATTACCAATACGCTCTTGTTAAAACGCTCCATCTTATAAATGCATGCCAAATGCTTACTTGAAAAAAAAACAACAAAAAAAAAAAAACACATTGGCAAATATCCATGAATATCCATCTCATTTGTTATGAAGAAAAGAAAAAGTGCTTTAGGGTATGTTTTTTCTGAGCGCAAAAGTCACTAGTCTGTCAGAAGCCTGCTATTGCTGTAGACAGAATAAAAACTGCCATCATATTCCCCCGAGACATGTCCATTTCCTCCACTTCAATCAGGCCTTATTTCTCAATCTTTGTGGTATGATGCAATGTTACTGTTCAGTTCTATGAAAAAATCCTGGCAAGCTTCTGTTTTGAATGCTTTTTCTTGCCAGGCTAATCCTCAGCCTTAGCCTCCATCTCCTCTGCATCATCGTCCCCGTCCACCTCTGCGTTCTCCCTCTCCAACCTCTCCAGTTGCCGGGCCAGCTCAGTCTCATCTGTGTCTGTCACGACCTTTGGCTAAAGGGCAAAGGCACATACAATACAGGTGAATCGATTTGGTAGATGGCTGCATCAAACATAAAATTACTGATACACAGAAAATGAACTGGCACAAATTTCACGGGACAATCAGTAAACCATGCTGGTCACCAGGAAAACCAAATTATCCTGACTCCAAATTTCTGATAGTTATAATTTCTGAATTTGACATTGTAAGTAAAGCTCGTTTCAGATTAGACATCTATGTGAAATGAGACCTGTAAGTCCTGAGTTGAGCTGAGCTCACAAGGGCACTTTTGTACCTATTTATCAAAAATAAACAAAAAACGCAAGAGCAATATGTTAATGGACTACAGGTATTAATGCATTGCAATATAAAATTACGCTGTCCTTTCAAAAAAAGTTTACCAGAGTTGTACTTTTGACAGAGTGTACTCTGACAGTCTCATGCTCTAGCCAAAAGCAGACGTGTGGAGTGGAGCTTCAGTCAGTGAGTGATTTTGAACAAAAGGAGGAGCTGTAAAATTCAGTTCTAAAGGTTCAGTACAGCAAACTATCACAAAGAAGCTTTTGCATGAGTTTCCCACTCACATCAATCTCCACCTACAAACACACACAACAAACCAGTAATGTCAATGTTTTTTTTTTTTCAAAAAATATCAAAAAGTCCTTGTGAATACAGCCTTAACATTGTGTAAACATTATATGTAAACATTATTTTACAAATTATTTGCTGCAAACTACAAAAGCTTGTTACATTTGCATACAGTTGGAAGAGGGCTGTTCAGTACACATATACAGAAGGTAACAACTTGTTGGATATTTTAATGAAGTTGCTGGATATTGATATGACAATATAAGAAATGACAGGTTACGAATGTTTATCAATTACATTTTTGTGCTGTGTGAACAGAAATTTAGCTCTTCAAAACACAAAATTACAAAAAGCGCAATTTATCATTGTACCGCATAAAATGAAATGTAATACTAAAAGCTAGCACCTCTGCTGCATACACATTTTACAGGTTTAAACCAAGACTGTCAGAAAAGCACTCTGGATTCTCCAACAGTTTTTGCTACACAGGCCTACAAACATATGTATACATTTTTTCTACACAGTAAAAAAAAAAACAAAACAAAAAAAAAAACTGGGTGTTAATATTTCAGAGTTCACGTATTTAAGCCCAGACTATGTCTTTTTAACACTGTCAAGATTAAAGTGAACATGAATCTCGCATACTTACAAAATATTAAACTAGTGTCTGTATGATATCTGAAACACTTACAGACAATGCTTTCGATAGGGTAAACAAACAAGACTGCACCAGATTAACTTTACACAGCGAAGCGTGGCAGCTGCAGTATCAGACTAAGCTACTTCCTGCTTTGCCCTAGTAAGAAAAAGACAAAGGCTGCCAGACTAAAAGTCCTCAGCAGGGGGTGCTATTTCACATAAAATTAGGACAGAACAGTATCTTTATCTGGAAGACTCATTCACACATCAAGTTGTCACTTGTCTTAAATTGGTGGGCCAAGCCATGGTCGACAGTCCTTCACCAGTGATGAAGTGCCAACTGATGAAGACGCAGAAGCAGCGACTGCTGTTTTGAGTACCACAAAAATCAGCATTCACTACTTCTTCATTGGGACTGATAAGCATGCGCTTCCATGCAAGGCGACAGGTTCAGTGGAAGCCTCTGACCAACTCTTTAAGGCACTTTTTTCCCCCGAAAAAATTTATCAAAGCACCATTTTATTATCCAGTATCCCCACTGCATCCAGAGAATTGGACCTGTAGTTTATAGCTGGTGTACGAAGGCAAATGATCAAAAGAAAAAAAAGGCATACAACGGGCGATCTTCAACAACTTTTAGTTGCTTAGTTATTGGTCCAGGGAAAATGGTGTCTTTCAACATGGTTAAAAGGAATTGCTATGGCAATGCACCAGGTTATGAAAGAGCACTGGACTAAACACCTGGTTATATGTAGCAAAGTTGAATCTGAAATTTCTCTGATTTATCAGGTATATTCTCTTCTGATAATATGTGGAAGCCTGTTTCTGCTCATTGTGCCTTTAGTTACTGCCAAGTCAACAAAGGGTTTTGTTTTCTTTCCCATAAACAACCTGCATTATCATAGGTCTATTGACATGCAAATGTCATATGGAATGAATAACAGAGCTTCATTTGTTGCCGCATATTGCTTTCTCTGGTGGGGATGTGATTTGTCATTTTGACACTGATGTATCGATCTCACCATTATAGGCAAGGCAAGCAAGCACAGCAACATTGGTCATGCTTTGTTCATGTTTATTCAATGTTATGACCTTTACAATAGATGCTGCGACTGTCATTTTGTGTTATGGTGTTTGCTTTTGGCAGTAATTATATTACAGTTATTTAATAACACTATTATGAAATTGAGATAAAAAAACAACACTGTAGAGACAAAAAAAACTAAATACAACTGCATCAGGTTTAAATATGATTACAAATTAAAGTGTTGATTTTTAACAGTTTCGAGTTAAAATAACTCTGAGTGTGATGTTTTTCACATTTTGGTGTTAATTTTAAACCTATTTTAGAAGAATTTATTCTGAAAGTTTGACACTGTCCATACAGTAACTTTAACACTATTTTTGAATGGGACTAAATGTTATCTGAAATGGTAAATGGTTAAATTCAACTATGTATGTGTTAAATTAACACTTATTTTTACTGTGTATATAGATCTACAAAATAATAATATTATAAAAATAAAAGCTCCCAATAGTGATGCAGTTTGTTGTGACAGTAACAATTACTACTTCACAAATACAACACTGACAGTGAGAATAAGTTATGGTAGTCTAGCTCTGTAGCAGAGGGGTTAAATTACTTGCTCTACAAGAGGAAGATCAGCTCAATTTTAAGCCTGGCTCATGGAGGCATACCACTACTTAATATTACATGCAGCTCCTTAACGGTGTTTAACAAGTAAACTTATTGCGATGAAAAAAAAAAATAATACAAACACAATTCTTTTAGGGCTGCACAATTCTTTAATTGTGCAGCCCTAAACTTGGAAAATGTTATTGGTAGCAGTTTACTGCCTTCATTTGCAAGCTATTTCCAGATTTTAAAAAAAAAGCTTCAATTTCCAGAGGTGAAAAAGCTCAGATTCCACACATTTCCAGGAGCATATCATGCGAAACTTGTGCAACTGAAATGTTCCCAGAATCCCAAATTCTGCCTAGCAAACTCAGCTCTCACCTCCATCTGAATGTTAAAGACTCCTCTTTTCTCCTCAATCTTCTCCTTAATGGCAGCCATGGCCTGGTTAAGCACAGAAAGGCCTTCTGTGCGCTCCAGCGTGGTTGTGGTCATTACATAACGAGGGGGGGCAATCAGGTTGATCTGCAACAACCATTACATGTTATGATCATTCAAAATTTAGTGGCACAGCCAGACCACAATGATAGGGCAAGAGACAGTCCACAGTTAACTGGTGAGTCACAAAGAAAACAAACAAACATGTAATTTAACCAGGGTGTTCAAACGGCATATGACTGAATATCATGAAGAATGAGTGTCAACAACTTACTTTGATAGGCATTGCCTCCGTTGAACAGTTCAAACCTGCCCGCAATGCATCTTTAACTGCGTCAATACCCTCATACCCATAACAAGCAACCTCAATGTCTGAGGAAAAGAATACAAATTACATTTAGGGGTGCATGGTATGGCAAAAATATAACTAGACATTTTCACAATACATGATATGTATCACAACATTTCTTTCTTTAAAAGGTTTGATAATAAAAAAGAAGGAATCAGTTGTGCCACATTTAAAAATACTATCAACAACTATAAACGCAACATTTCTTTTTGTTTCATATACTGCAACTGCACCAAATCCAACTAAACAGGTCTAATTATGTTCTCTCTGTAATTAAACATGCAGTGGGTCAAAAGTATTTAAGTAATGACAATGACATGCCCAGAAAAGTACATTACGATACCATTTTCCCAATGACAAATATCCTCATATTGCCTACACATAATAAGATTAATATTAAACCCCTTCATTTTAACTACAGATACTGTAAAGAAAAAATTAGCACCTGCTCTGATTTTGACTGCTTGTGGGGTGAGTCGTCTGTTGATGTTGTCAATTAAAACGGTCCTTTCCTCCTCAGTTAATTCTAAGCTATCTAAAATAAATGGGTCCCTGCAATTCAAACAAAAAAAGTATACAGTTAATTACAGGGTTAAGAGAAAATATGAACTGCAGCAGGTACTATGATTCAAAGTGTAATGGTAAACACTGCAAAGTGACACTTAAGCCCATTTGACACTAGACGCAGTAACCATGCCATGTCGTGTGCAATTTGCTCCTGTAGTCAGGGCAGTAACATGTGAGTGTAAAATGAACAAAAAACTGCCTTGGGCCTATTTTTGATTTTTGATATTTGTGCCACACGCTGCATGCTAGCATTTTCTGGGCAGAAACAGTGAAGAAGTACTCTTTGACAAGGGCTTAAAAATTCCTTTGCATGGGTTAATGTGGTGAACCCAGCAAGCATCTCCCCCTCTTGATAAAGCTATCCATCACTTGGCAAAAAAGCTAGCAACAGTAATGACAGCAAGTCTATTTTTTTATTGTTGATCTCTTTATATCATCTACATAAAGTGTATTTAAGCAGTAAACAGAGGACAAATACCGCTTTTGCCTTGCAACATATGCGTCACTTCTAGTGTGAAATAACTGTATTATTATTAATAAGTGTCACGGATGGGTTCCAGATTATCATGTGCACCACGCTGCATATGGTGTGAAATGGGCTTGAGGGAACGACACATACGCCACGGCTTGCTTGAACACATCATAAGCTCCGTATCCAGGTCGCTTGTACTTCTCATCAAATACCCAGGCTGTACGCTGATACAAACTCTCCAGCTGCTCGTCTTTGGTATACTCTAGTACCTCGGCCACGTGCCTCAAAATGCTGTACACCTGCAAAATGCATAAGTGCAGCAGCTAAGGAAAATAGGGTTCAGTCAACCACAGATACAGCTAATGATGAATGCCTTCACATGGACTGAACCACAGATACAGCTAATGATGAATGCCTTCACATGCAAATGACATCTGATTTAGCATCCTCAATGCTAAATCAAATACTCAACACTCAGCTTGAGGCCTGCTTACGGTCTTAGATTTAGTGAACTTGTCCTCACACTTTATAGCTTCTTCTGGCGACACTCTTCTTTTGGATAAATCAATGTAGCCTGGAAATCGATACAGGAATAAAAGTGATTAGGTAGACCTGTCACAATTTTTACATAATCACCAGATCTCAGTTAGTTTAGGTGACTGCATACTTGTTAGCTTTCACAATTACATGTTTACGATGCAATAAACAGAATCCAAACTGGGCGCGTTTTCATCTGCTGGACTGGGGTGAATACACATAAATAAAGAAAGCAGAAAACACATTTTTTTAAGACACATCATGGGCCTTTAAAGGTTCAGCTTCTGACTGGTGCTTTATATGTTTTAACGGCAGAGGTGAGTAATGCTTATTTGAACTCTAGACGTGTTTGTCTTTAATTCAAAGCTACCACTGATTGGTCAGTGTGATTATTAATACCATACTTACTTGTCAATTACATGTTGTCAAAAAATTTTGTCAAAAAATGTTATAATCATTAAAGGGCCTGTTATTAAGCAACTGCAAGACTGGAAAAGGTACTCCAGGAGTATCTGGTCCCTACCTTTCTCCTTGTCCACACGAATGACCACAACACACTCGTTGCGGCCAATACGGATAAGTTTGTTGATGGAGCGAATACGTCGTCTGGAAAGTTCACTCAGCAGAATCATGCCTTCGATGTTGTTGTACTCCAGGAGGCTCACATATGCTCCCATCTCAGCGATGGAGCGCACATTGACCATCACCACATCCTCCACTTCTGGAAATTTGTGCTGGTAGAATCTACAGCTGAGGCCAGGCATCCTCTAGCTGCCAGTGATTTACAGGAAAGGAGAGGAAACAAAGTAAAAGCAGTTAGGAGTTAGACATTCAACAATAAAGTATACCACAATATTCGACACACAAGGTATTGTAACTGTATAGACTTTTATATGCGTAACTGCATTTTAGTCAAACAAGTTGCAGTTTTCAAGTATATGTATAATTTTATATATTACAGCAGAACAGCTTTTGTTTTAGAAGGTCACACTATGCTGTCATATTGTGATTCCATGCATCCTTTAATGTCTGCACAGCTGTCTTATTGGTCTGAGCAGTGGTACCACTTCATAATCAGTGTGCTATTTAAGGGACACCAAAAACATGATGCCCATAAAGACTGTGAAAAAACAGGATTCCACAAATTTATAAAGACTACTGTACCATTATACAAGTGTCAACAAAGAAGTTTATTTTTTTTTTAAACTGAAATCCTTAAAATATATAATCAACATATGACATTAAAAAACTACATGCATACGTATCACTGTTTTTCTAAATACAATATTGTGATATCTTCAACTGTGAAAAAGTTAGGTAATCATCAGCTAGTCCTAATTCAGTAAACAATAAGAAAATTAAGTGTTACTGAAAACATTAGCTAAGCTCACCCACCACTCTGAATAAGACTCCAAGGACGGGTTCAAAACGTTTATCGCACTTAAATTTTTATTTATCAGTTTTTTTTAACTGCGTAATATAAAACAGCTGGATGCTAATGCAGAGAATCAAGCATGGGCTGGTTTAATTCGCTAACTCAACTCGGCCGGTCTGAATGAGTCTTGCCCGTTCTTTTGCCAGTCATTCAAGTAGAAACCAAATATGAACTTATTTTACTTTACAGATACAGATGAGAAAGTATCAAAGTCGCCGAGTTTTGTACCGTCGTTCCTTTGGATGATAAACTGTTTTAAAAATAAGAAAAACGGCAAATAATCAACCTACCGCTTTACTATACAACAGCGTGAAGGACTTAGACCGGAAAGAGACTACTATTTAGTCAAAAACCTGTGAATAGCGCCATCTACTGTACCGGTGTTCTATCAATATGTCCTACCCATCGAGCGGAACTACTGAGCATGCGCATATCATTACTATAGCGTGGTAATTTAATGCTTCAAAAGGTTTGTTGTGTTTTTAACGTTAATTCGGTGCATATTCCGAATAATATTGTTACTTACTGCCTGATAAGGTGATTTAGGCGATCACAATATCCTAATTATTCTTTTAATGCTGGTGACGTTAACGTTTAACGTTATTGATAAGGAGATTTAGGTTATCAAATTGTCCTACCTATAGAGTCCACTACAGGTAGCATTTTCTGATAGGATAATTTAGGCCATCAAAATATCCTACCTACAGTTATTTAGAGCGCTACTTAAAATATGCGGTACGGTAGGAAATTTCGACAAGGTAGCACCATTTTGTCAGAACACCGGTGTTACGGTAAATTCAGTTCCCCCTGTTCCCCCCTCATTGCGCATGTCGAAATCATGACGTCTTCAGTCGACGCTCCTCTGCGGGGCTTAGATAGGTTTAATTCGTTTGTTTTGTACCGTTATTTCGTCCTATTCCTCGCGGTAAGCGAATTACCACGTTGTTTGTAAAAATGACTTGTAGTTAAACACGTTTTAAAAGTATAAAATGTGTTGTTAGCAGATGTTTAAATGCTCAAACACAACGTGGGCTATCTTGATAATGCTAGCTTTGGCTCCGTTTTCAACTACTCCGAGTAACAGAAGTTAGATTTATTGCGCCATTTCTGATTTAATTGTCGTACATGCGGACACATTCTGTTGTTCAGACTTCAGTGATTTTTAAGGTGTATTTATGTCACATATCCTCATCAGTCTCGCTAAGTTCTGTAAATAGATTTGAAACATTTGTTGCTGAAATAAATAACCTGCATTAAGTTACACAGCACAGTAATTAGTCTATGTTATTATTATTAGACTACGTATCTCAGTGCACCTAGGAAGTTGGTTTCCCTGTAGTCTTTGAGGCTGAAGTCTTACTGTTATGGTACTAATGTGACTTGTCTTTACAGTAACTTTTATTCATATTTTATAATCTTCAGAACTGAGAATACAGGGGGAACATCTTTAACCAGAGCCTTAGAAAAGTGGTTTCCCCTTATATATTACAGCTGGAGTGGATTTAATGTACAACAGTGATGCTGATAATCTATATCTGTGCATGATCATTTCACTCAGTAACTTTTATTCATATTATACCACCTTTACATTGAGAATACTGGGGAACATCTTTAACCAGAGCCTGAGAAAAGTGGTTTCCCCTTGTATATTACAGCTGGAGTGGATTTAATGTACAACAGTGATGCTGATAATCTATTTCTGTGCATGATCATTTCACTCAGTAACTTTTATTCATACTATACCAACTTTACATTGAGAATTCAGGGGGAACATCTTTAACCAGAGCCTGAGAAAAGTATATTACTTTGTATATTACAACAGGAGTGGATTGTATATTACAACAGGAGTGGATTTAAAGTACAGCAATGATGCTGCTAATCTATTTTTGTGCATGATCATTTCACTCAGTAACTTTTATTCATATTATACCTACTTTACACTAAGAATACAGATGGAACAGCATTCTCAGTGTACTAGTCGATTACAGCTATTAAAGATTTAATGCACTATTATATTAATTTGTTTTTATTTTTATTTTACTCCAACTGCTTCTTACATTAACATTGTTTTATACAGAGACTAAACGGTAGAACAGATTTACCCAGTGCCCCTAAAAAAGTTCCCTTAAAAACTGGCAATTAGGATCAGTTTAATGTACTATAATGCTTTCTTTGCTTTTTCTGTTCTCCCAGTAACTACATTGGGTCAAAAATTTTAACCTGTAGTTAATTAAATGAAAAAAAAGATACATTATATGTTTTACCATTTTTCTCTACTGAATGATTACTACATGCAGGTGTACCACACTGTAATGTTTCTTGATACAGCTATGTTATCTGTTACTATGTTACCATGTTTAATGGAAGTAAACAAATGGGATTTGATCAGTGTTCCTGGTAAATGGTTTCCTTTCCCTACACTACAACGGGGCATAAAGGTAGTATGATAATCCTATCATTTTCTTATAACAGGTTATAAAAGTACTATAATAATTGTGTTGTTGTGTAAAGTTTGTATAATATGAATAGAATTCACTCCAGCTGTAATATACAAGGGGAAACCACTTTTCTCAGGCTCTGGTTAAAGATGTTCCCCAGTATTCTCAATGTAAAAGTGGTATAATATGAATAAAAGTTACTGAATGAAATGATCATGCATAGAAATAGATTATCAGCATCATTGTTGTACATTAAATCCACTCCAGCTGTAATATACAATGGGAAACCACTTTTCTCAGGTTCTGGTTAAAGATGTTCCCCCTGTATTCTCAGTTCTAAAGATTATAAAATATGAATAACAGTTACTGTAAAGACAAGTCACATTAGTACCATAACAGTAAGACTTCAGCCTCAAAGACTACAGGGAAACCAACTTCCTAGGTGCACTGAGATACGTAGTCTAATAATAATAACACAGACTAATTACTGTGCTGTGTAACTTGATGCAGTTTATTTATTTCAGCAACATCCATCCATCAACTAAACCGCTTATCCTTCTGGGTCGCGGTGGGGTGCTGGAGCCTATCCCAGCTGTCATTAGTCCATCGCAGTATTTCAGCAACAAATATTTCAAATCTATTTACAGAACTTAGCGAGACTGATGAGGATATGTGACATAAATACACCTTAAAAATCACTGAAGTCTGAACAACAAAATGTGTCTGCATGTACAGTAATTAAATCAGAAATGGCGCAATAAATCTAACTTCTGTTACTCGGAGTAGTACTCGGAGCCAAAGCTAGCATTAGCAAGATAGCCCACGTAGTGTTTGAGCATTAAAACATCTGCTAACAACACATTTTATACTTTTAAAACGTGTTTAACTATAAGTCATTTTTACAAACAACGTGATAATTCACTTACTGCGAGGAATAGGACGAAATAACGGTACAAAAACAAACGAATTAAGCCTATCTAAGCCCCGCAGAGGAGCGTCGACTGAAGACGTCATGATTTCGACATGCGCAATGAGGGGGGAACAGGGGGAACTGAATTTACCGTAACACCGGCATAAACAACATTCTCCAACCAGTGGCAGGGTAACTTACTGAAAGTGGACTACTTCTGCAAGCAGCTTCTGTTTAAGAAAGGTGAGTAATTATGTGATAAACAACTTAAGTAACAGTTAGTTAGACTCAAGCTATACACACATAAATATATCTTTGCTAGGTTGTATCTCTGGCTCAGAGGGAAAGTCACTAGCGTTAGCTAGCTAACTTGCAAATGGTTCAACCTCATAAAGTTGTGCACCGTTTTGCTTTGCTTTTACTTTCCGGTGTTAGGGTGAAGCCTGTGGCAGGTGGTTTTCGTTTCTTCCATTTTAATTAATAAAAAATGACCATTTATTCTTGAACAGCATACCGAAGATACTGAGGGCAGATTCATTTTAATTACTGGTCACTTGTATGGGCACCATGTTGCAATGCTTAACTCTACGCCCCAAAAGAGGACACTCCTACCTTTATGTCTGATGTCATCTTACGATTTAATCAGTCTTGTAAAGACGTTGGTATATTAGCTGGGGGTTTCAATTGTGTTCTTGATCAGAATTTAGATAAGACATCCGTTTCTTCAGTGAACGTTAAGTCTGCTTCCATTGTTAATCAGTTGTGCAGCGAGCTTGGCCTTACAGATGTTTGGAGAGAATTAAACCCTACTGCCAAAGATTATACGTTCTATTCTAACCCTCACAATTCATATTCTAGGATAGATTATAATTTTATACCAAACAGCTGTATTCATTTGATACATTCATGTCAGATAGGTTCAGTAGTGCTATCGAATCATGCTCCAGTATTTGTGGATATTCATTTTTCTTTTTTTAAATACAGAACTAAAGATTGAAGGTTTAATTCGTCTTTGCTATCTAACACTGGATTTGTTGACAGTGGATTATTAATTATTGGGAAGACAACAAGAAATCACCTGTGTCCCCAGCTACTCTTTGGGATGCTGCAAAAGCTACGGCACACGCACACTTAATATCTTACACATCATTCCATAAGAAGCTTTCGCTACTAAATAGTAGAAATTGGAAACTGAGGTGAGAAAATTACAACAGTTACATAAAACGGCACCTAATCAATCCAGTTGGGTTCCCCTGTGTAGCGCTAAAGCGAAGCTAAATTTAGATAATCAAATAAAAAAGCAACAAACTGAGAAATCTGTTAAATACTCAGCTAAATTCGATGGTACTAAAATATATGAACCTGAGAGTATAAATGATATATTCAAGGATTTTTATGTTTAAGTCTACAGTCTAAGTATACATCACAAACTACAGCTTCTGATCATGAGATTCAGATACAGAGAGAGAAAACCTTAATGCTCATATTTCCCTTAGGAGATCTGGGAGGCGATTCAGTCTTTGTCTTCTAATAAAGCACCTGGACCAGACAGTTTCCCAATTGAATTTTATAAAACATTCTGGGCAGAACTCCAACCTGTTTTACCACCGGTTCTGCAGCATCTGTTAGATCAAGGTTCCATTCCAGAGACTTGGAAAGCAGCTTCAATCTGCTTAATCTTTAAAAAAGATAAAGATCCTCAAGTCTGCTCATCCTACAGACCTATAAGTCTTCTCAATACGGACTGTAAGATATTCGCTAAAGTTTTAGCAAGAAGACTTGAAAATGTTTTACCTCAAATCATTAACCCTGATCAACATGCATTCATCAGAAAGAGATACGGGTCTGACAATATACGCATATTGCTAAATGTAATTGATTTGGTACAAAGACACAAAAACCCTTCGCTTATGGTTTCACTAGATGCCGAAAAGGC